ATATATATATATATATATATATATATATATATATATGTCTTTCCGTAAAACTTTCTACTGTAAGTAAAACGGAGCTTCTGTCTATAAATATTTTTTATTTAGATACAACGATCTCGTAACCAAATGCGACGTTTATGAATCTTGATTTTCAGCTACTTGTATAGTTTTCATATCATAGTGCGTGCTTTAAAAGCAACTCTCTCTCTCTCTCTCTCTCTCTCTCTCTCTCTCTCTCTCTCTCTCTGTAATCTTTTGAACATTTTATTTACAAGTTGATTAAAATAAATGTCAATTAAACGAAACATTACCGTCGAATTGTTTAATAGTAATTTAATATAAACTATTTATCGGCGCCTATATTTTCCTATATATCATCAAAATCTACTCGATTGTTTAATGTTCGTTAAAAAGAAGAATTACACCACAAAAAAACGAGTAGATAAAACAATTTCAAGATATATTTCTTTGTACACGTTCGAAAGAACTAAAACTGTTGCGTTGTTATGTTTTCTAAATATAAATGAAAGTAAATCGCAGCTAACTTGTAATTACTTGCAATAATTAAAAAACAAAAACAATCTGTAATAATAGCAAAAATTAACACTTACATTGTATTAAGAAAAAAAAATTTTTTTTTTTCTTTTTCTTTTTTTTTAAACAATTACGATTTTTACCCTGTTTAAGTAGAAAGAATTTTTTTTTTAAAATACTATGCGATCGTCGTAGAAATTGATGTAAAATGGCAAAATAATATTGTATTATTTTATCTGGAGCATCATAATTTTTCACGTATATAATGGCACTTTCATCTATTAACAATTATACGATAAAAAACGTTTCTTAATCGTTCTTAATGCCGTTTGCTTTAAACGATTTTTTCAGAATAGAGATAATTTTCATGTAAAATGTCAAGATGTTAATAATGAAATATTTGCAAATTAAGCAGTTGAAATCCAGCTGAAATGAAAGCTTGCCGTTTAATTTGAAAACTTCAAGTATTTGCAAGCTATGCAACTAATAAGAATCTCTATATTCGCAGGAGCTTGAGGATAAGCGAATGTTTTATGTGTGCCCAGCAAACTATGCGTTTCTCGGAAGTTTTAAATCAATGCTCTAAGCCTTGTGGCGCATAAGAATGAATTCAAGGAAAAGCTTTGGAGTTTTTGGTGCTTTCGAGCCCACATAACGAGGCTCTGAAACTCGTAAAACAATAAAACAATTAGCTGCCCCTTCTACAGATGCTACCTTTGCTTCATACTTAAGAGTAAAAAAGACATTTTCTTCTCTCTACGTTGCTACATTTGCCGTTTTATTACCTACATCGTTGCGTATTTGGATAAAGTGAGGCTGGATCATGCTTATCTGAATCCCCAATGCGAGCAGATGTTGGTAAAACGTGGCTTAATAGCTACTTGCGCGAACATCTCACGCCTACTAATGCTTATATACGTGTACTCTGCGAAACCTTAGACCTCAATATCAGCTCGATTTATCCTGCCTTCCTATCAAAATAAGTCCTTGCATTGTATTTTATATTAAACGGCGAAAATCTCTTGGATTTTCAAATAATAATGTTTATCAATAACATATATTGAACTTAATTTGAAGCGAGTCTAACCGAGAGTCATCATAAATTTGATTTGAATCTTTGATTAAAATTCTTTGATTCAATGGCGAATTAATTTTTTTATTCATTTATTTATCTCATTATTTTCTCATTAGGTTTGTTATTAACTGAAGTTAAAGGAAAGCTTAATGCTTATGAAGCCAAAAACATTATTCGAGAAGAAAGGAGAAGAATTTTAAAGATTAACGTTTCAATTATTGCCTATTAATTTTTCGAAATTTGAGTATTTCGAATGAAGTAAAAGAAATTTGTCTTAACGTTAAAAACATAAGCTAAATTGAATAAGCTAACTTTTCAGCTAACTTTACTATATTTTTTTATTGTATTAGAAAATAAAAAATCGAGCGAGAGGAGATTTAAAAATACTAACAAATATTGGACGAAAGTAAAATAAAGAAATAGAAGGCACGAGAGATAAAGTATTCTAATCACTTAAATAAAGTTAAAAAATTTATAACATATCAACGATACGTCTATTTAGAAAGAGGAGGGACTAAGTCGATAAATAAATAAATAAGGCCCTTAAATAACTAACAAATATAGCTCTCTATTGCTAACCAAATTGTAGAGAAACGGAAAACAATAAATAATATAATGAAAGGAAATTTCCATTAACGAAGTAAACAAAGATAACATAAATAGAAAATTACTATTAATATAATATATGTATATGTGTTTATGAAAAACTTAACAAGTTCATAAATATAACGATTTGTAATGGTTTTTGTACGTACAAAAATGTGGAAAACAATTAATTGTACAACAATTATAAAGAATGCAGTTGACAACTCTGGAGATATCAAATTTGATATTATTAAGGAAATTATAAGAGACATGCAAGTCTATATTTCTTTTCGATACATCAATAATACATAAATAATCAAAGCGGTCAAATAATTTATTCAGTATAAGAGAGAATTTAACGTAACGGAAACGAGATGGAAATATCTTTTTAAATTTGAAAGTATCTATCAATCTTTATGAATTAAAGAAAATATAATTATAATATGAGCAATATATAAGAAACCAAAAGGAAATAAAAAAAAATAAAAGAAAGTTATTTTCACTTAAATATCAAATTCAGAAAATCTACTACACTAAACTATACTACTCTATTTATATATTAAAAAAAAAAAAGATGAAAACTTTATTTGATTTTTTTTTTTTTTTTTTAAACAGCTAGAATTTTGAATATTGAATTTCTTAAAAATAGGTAGAATTTTTACAATAAAGACATAATTTATGTACAAATTTATTTACAATGTATTAAACTCTGTACAAATTTTACAAATTTTACAAATTACAAATATATATTTATATTTATATTTTTCCAGTAAATTTATTATATTTTATATAGTTTTGGTAGGTAGATTTAAAAACTTGTTGAGCCAATGTTGGTAAAGTTCGGGATAAGTAACTAATAGCGTGACGATCACAATTACTGAGAATATGAGATATTGAAAATTCAATTGACATCTAAAAAAATACCATAAAATTTATCAATAGTTAATAAAGTAAAAAAAATAAAAACATTCTTGAAAATACTATACCTTTAAAAAGTGTGGCAAGACTGTAGCATGCGACACTTCAATTAAGTCAGCAATTAAATATGGACTTATTCTTACAACGTCTTTCTTTAATTTTGCGAAAAATGTACAAAACCTAATGAAGAAAAATTAGAATTTATGTTAGCTGAGTTTCACCTTTGAATGGAAATGAGAAATTTTATCTATTTACTTTTCAATGTCTATTGCTAGAATTTTTAACATTCGCTCGTCGGAGAATTCGATATCTTTTGCCTCTTGGAAAACTATTTTAATTATTTTTCGAAACAGATTTGTAAGTATGGTTAATCTATCGAGTAGAAAATCTAATTTCGATCTCATAAAATCTAAACAAAGTCCTAACGCCTCTTGACACGTGGACAATTTATTTTCTTTGTTCAAGTTATTTAAACATTCCATCGATGATACAAAAATGGAATCAACCAAAATATGTGTCAATCGAATCATTCTTTTCGATGTGACAAAAGTACGACATATTTTAAAGAAAAATATACAAGACGAGTCCTTGATTTCCAATGCAAGCAGGTCTTTGAAAAGATTATTTACAGATGTTTTCAATGCTTTTGCGCGTGTCACTTTTGTTTCAGCTTTTGAAAGATTTTCCCAAATCTTTGTAAGCTTTTCTAAAGCTTGAGTGTTGCTATTCAACAGGCTCTCTTTCTGTAAAAATAAATATTTAATCAACATTTAACATTGTCATTTGGTATTAGTTAATTTTAATATGGATATTTTCATTGTATTATACTGTTTTTTTGTTGAAGTTGTTTATGAAAAATTGAAATTCATTATCTTTTAGAATTTCAAGAAAATGAAAGAATATTTTCCCATTAGGATTATTAATGTAAATAATGCATAAATTTTTAATTATATCTTCACTGATAAGAAAATGTTTTCTATGCTCTAATACAATTAAGGATAATTGTAAAATTTCATGAATTAATTTATCATCGTACAATTTTTCCGTATCCTAAAACAAAGTATTAGCGATTTAAAATGTAAATTACAACAATTAATTTAAAAACTTGTGTATGGAAGAATGAAAATAATAATTACCTTGGTTATACTTTTAAGCGTCAGTTCTATACAAGATTTTAAATTATCATCCAATCGCTGTTTTTTTGTCAAAACTGCTTTTACAAGTATTCGAAGCCCAGCAATTTCATACAAACTGCTGATTTCTTTATCGAGTTCTTCAACAATTTTATTACTTAATTTGAGGTATAAATTTTGCAAAGTATCCTTTTGATTACTCATACAAGGTTTGTTCTTTGAACTTTCAATACAGATTAAGAGAATCGAGCTCATTTTTCTATTACAATCCTCTTTATCAACAAATTCTTGCCAAAATGATAAAACAGATACCTTATTTAGAGATGATTTGAAAATTTTAAAAAGCACTATCTGATTATCTTTAAAGTGATTTATTAAAATCACTGGTTCAGATAGACTGTTTAAAATATCAAAATTATTCTGATAAAGCAAATCTAGATAGGAAGAATTAATTAAAGCGATACATTGGATTTATTGCAACTAAAAGTTTAAATACAACTTTATGTAATATGAAATTTGACTTAACCTGTGTATAAATTTCCAACGGCTTCCTTAAAATCAGCGACATGTTTAGTTTCTTCGTCAAATACATATAATACGAGAAATAAAAACTTCTTTATCTGACTATTAAGAATCGAAAGTGGCAAATTTGACATAAAGATTAAATTACGTTTTATTTTATCAGCATCCACAGTATTTAGTGATTTGAAATCTTGTTTTGCAATTTCTTTAGTTGCATGTTTAAGTGCTTTTTTACAATTTATTTGATCGTCCATGGATTTTAATACCGCTTCCTATTTATAAAACGTAAATGAAATAAATAGAATATTATTTTAAATTGTGCTAAAACTTAATGTACATACAAAATCAATATTTTCTATGATCGTTCTTGTTGATGTTGATTCAATATCTTCAACGATATTTGACAGGATTTGAAGCGCTGCAGCTGTAGCAAATACTTTTGTCATTCTTGACATATTTCGGTTTAAAACTGATGTCCATTTAGATAAATTATCGGATGTAGAACATGCTTCTTTAACAAAATGCAAAGTCAATTTTAATATCTGCATTTCATTAAGAGATTCAATTATTTGAAAATGATCTTCCATTATAACTGGCCATAGCTGTACAATGATCTTTTCCTTAATTGTATGCATATTATTTCGATCATAATTTACCAATTTCATTAGCATTAGTCGATTCTATAAAATAGTGTATGAAAATAATACAAAATTATTCCCCTTAAGGTATTTCCTTTCAATATCGACGTATTATAAAAAAAAATATACAATACCAAGGATTCTGTGCAGTCTTGATTCTTACGCTCTTTAATCATTTGCTTGAAGCTTTTCAATTGTGTTTCTGTTATTGGAAAACTTAATTCATTACAAGCTATATTTGGCACGTAATAGCGTAATAAATCATAGGCTTCGCACCAAATATTTGCAATTGTCGAGAATGCTATGAAAATCATTGGTCTCAATTCATCGCTATTACTTTCGCATAGAGTTTCGCTAAGCACAGCGAGAGTACTTTGTAAATCGGTGAATGTCTGATAAAATTTAATTTGCCAATCTTGCGTCAATGAACCGTCTAAAAAATTCACATGTTCGAAGAAAGCTACGATAAAACTTGCAACAATTTTAAGCGACAAGCACGAACGCGCTGAAATAAATAAATTTACACAGTTAATTAAATTATTGTTAATTATAATTTGCGTTAATTAATATGAGAAATAATAACTAACTTATTGTATTAAGAGTTTTGAGGCAATCGGTCTTTAAATGAAAAAGAAGTGTGTTAAATATCGCAAGAATTTGAGCACTCGTAGTTTGGCTTCTTAAATCTTTACAAAATTCTGCGATAAAAATTTCTGGCAACTTAAACGTATTGACAAATTCAATGTCTATTTCTTTTTCTTTCGAGCAATTAATGGCTAATAGAAATTTTGAAAGAAATTTGTGCTGTCTTCGTAAACGAACGGTTGCCTTCCATAACTCTGTAATCAAATTCTCATACGCAATCATCTCTTTTTCACATGTCCGCCGTTCGAAAAACATTCTCTCCAATAAATCTTGTATAGCGCTCTCTATAATCAATGGATTGAGTTTTGCAATCGCAGTCAATAATTCATAATCCGAACATTTAAAACGTTTCTTCTTTGATTTAAGTTCCTCGATTTGAGTTTCCAAGAATAATTTGAGCGTACGACCATCTATTTCATTATCAAAGTTAAAGGATACGTCTGTCGAATTGTCGAGTAAAGCAGCCAATATTTGCTTAGACTGCTCCTTTTGCTCTATACACTTCCAAAGTCTGCGTAAAATAGTATCTACAATCGTAGAATTATGACGACAGGTATTGACTACACTCTCAAACAGCAAAGTCAATACAGCCTTAACATCTTGAAATTTTGCAGCATTAATTTTATCTTGCAAAATATTCAAAAAGGCCTCGCTTTCTTCGGCTATATTATATTTATCATTCGTCGGTAAGGCAATATTTCTCGCTGAGCCGAACATTAAATTTTTTATACATTTTTGACTCTTTATAATTAGTTTCGAAGATATTCTTTGAATTTTAATGGTTTCAACGAGCGAAGCAAGAGGAAACAACAGCTCCTCTATAAATATTGTCGCGAAGCTCTTCTCGTCTGAAAAGTTTTGCTTACAAATCTTAACGACCGTACCGATCGCACATTCCACGCTTTCCATTGCTAAATCACGATCGACAGATCGATCATCGTGCTCCGATCCATCGTTATTGAGAACTTTGAACGCAAACGTTAGTAAAGCCTTAATCAAAGGCAGTTGATTATTCTTTATCGAATAACTTTGTCCATTGCTAAATGAAAAGATGTACTCGCAACATTTCAATATCTCTTTGGAAACATGTTTATCGGGGAAGTCACATAATGATTGAATTAACTTAGCAGTGAGCAACTTTCTCGAGTCCAGAGACAGCTTAGTGAAGATCCTCGGATTTGTCGATAAGCAACGATGTATCGTCATCCAAATCGCAGAATTATTCTCGCCCGACAATTCACCATACAGCCAACGAAATACGCAATCCTCTTTCCACGCAATGAGAATATCTGGGCTATAAAGCACATTTTCCGCTAATTTTAATCGTTTCGTCAATGGCTCGTCGCTATTATCGCGTCTCAGACGGCTCATCAAACCTGCGCAAATAATATAGTCAAATCATTCACAGGACAGCGATCGCTTATCACAGTAAGGAGGAATTTTCAGCACAAGCGATTGCTCGTAAATGCATTAATTAAGAATAAGATTAGGGCGACAAACTCACCTGTTGATAGGGCCATCGCACGCTATATTACATACAACTTTAATCTCTCAATGCTCGCATTAACCTCAAATTTTATTTTAGTTAAATTCCCCCGTTCTTATCTTATCTTTATCCCCGTTCACCACCGCGCACATAATCAATTCCCATGCACATGCTGAGAATTGACCCAGGAAACCAATCACTCGACCTTAACCGTAAGGTTATGCGACGAAAACGAAAAGACGCGGGCCACGTGCGCACATTCGCGACTACACGTTACAACGTCACGAGTAGGAGGATTGGGAAAGAGGTTGAGAAGGTGGTAGGAAGAGGTGGCGGCGGCGGCGGCGGCGGCGGAGGAGGAGGAGGAGGAGGAGGAGGAGGGAAAGGAGATTGAGAAGAGGCCACAGTGCTTGAAACTTGATGGGACGAATGAACGTGTTGGGGGAAAAAAGTCGCGCGCCATACGATGATATTTGGCTAGGTAGTGCGTACTGAGAAAGCACAATCAATCTACGCGAGACAATGGCGAGGAAGGGAAATTGAAGTGGACAGTGAAGAATAATGAAATATGGCCCGGGGACCGCCCGGTAGCCCGCATATGTACATTTTCTTCAGCACTTCGAACCGTAAAGTCGACGATACGCTCGGTTAATGTGACTTTTTTCAGTTCGTACGAGGACGTCCAAGGACCGGTGGATCGCGGCAAAAAATCTTCTTTCGCCTATGCGCTTAAGGATGTACGGGGGCGCAGAGTATAATTAAACGAATCTTGTTGGGATTTGGGCCAGCGCTCCTGCAATAACGGGGCTAGAGAAGGATAGAGTGATATTGTTATTGTATGCTTGTGCCGCCGGTGTTTAAAGGCAAACGGACGTGAGCTTTTAACGGTTTAGTAGCACTAGCAGGTGAGCGCCGCTTGCGTGTACGAACTTGTTCGGAGCAAGAATCCGTGGTTGAGCAGCGGTTGAGCAGCGGTTGAGCAGCGGTTGATCAGTGACGTGTTGAGGTGGCTGGGCGATCCTCAAAGTATCATTTAGCGTGTAAAAGCCGTAAGATGAGCAAGTTCAAAGATCTTTATAAGAAAAATGGCTTGACAGCATCGAGGCGCGCGGAACAAAGGATTGACATCTTGAATTGCCAGCGTAAGAACCAACGATTCCACACCCTCGATTCTCGAAGGGAAAAAGTTACTTTGGATCTTCAAGGTGAGCGCTTTATTTTAGCTTAGCCTTATTTTTTCTTCTCAAACGTTTTTAAATGCCCTGGTACGCGATAATTCCTCTGCTCCCATCGAGCCCAATGAATTGCACGAACAAATTAAAATAGATGCGTCATTCGGAAATTCTAATGGTAATTATTTATTATTTCCTTCATTCTCATAAGATATTAAAGGACTTAATAATTAATTCGTCATTACGCGTGAATAATAAGAGAGGTGACTTTTAAGCATCGATACATAATATTATGTATAGCGTGTTATTAATAATTTCTCTCTGGTTAAATATAAATATTATTCACGATAGAGCAAATCATTTAATCGGGCATTAGGTGTGTTTATACATCATTATCTGAATTTGCAAATTCCAAGATCATTGTTTAATGTGAGAATTGAAAGCGCACATTTGCCACTCTGTATTATTGTAGTATTATTACGTATTCATTGGTTTGTAAATAAATTATGTCTTTAAATGCTTAAGTGCTGTTATTTATTATTATTTTCAGCGTTAAAGGTTTTTCTTTTTATTATTATTTATTTTTTTTTTTTTTTTTGTTTTTAAGACTATACTTAAGACAAGACGAAAATTAATTTCTTCATGCTATCATTGTTCCATTATGCAATGGGTAAATTAACGAATGTTAAAAGTGGATTTGTTAATCGAAAGCTCGAAAGCTCTTAATATCAAAGCGTTCGATATCGACAATATTTCAAAATTATATATTTTTATAAAATTTATATAAATATACACAAACGTAAATTGTAGACTTCAATTTTGTTGTTGTTGTTGTTGTTGTTGTTGTTGTTCTTATGCAAATTAATATTTTCAATGAAAGACCGAGTGTCTCCTATGTTACTTTAATCAGTTTATAAAAATCGCGCGAAGCTTACCAGATCGCCGTGATTTGAACATTCCACAAATATTGTATTTGCTTTAAATGATATTTACTATAAATAATAAATGTATTAAAAAATTATATCGAATTTTGCCAACCCATGCTCGTATCTGACAATAATTCCGTGTTTTCGACTTTATTTCACATAGATTCGAAGCGCAACAACAAAACAAAAAATACGTTAAATAATAATTCGAAGAAGAAATGGAGACCTATAAAAGAACAATCAACAATGAATGCACATTTACCTCCATTTATTGTAGGAGTTGTTAGGCATAAAATTCATTCTCCGCCATTTTTACACGAGTCAATTAATGTTACAGAAAAGAAAAAAAACTGTCAAACAACGCAACAGGTAAACGACAATATAAAATACCATAAATATCGCTCAATCGTTCGCAAAATTTTTTTGTCAAATTTTAGTCAATTTATTTGATTGAATTTTTGTAACTTAAATTTTTTATAAAGAGAAACTTTTAGACAAAAATAAAATAAAATACAAGCTTTTATTATCCAGATTTACGTCTGATTATTGAGTATATCGTCTTCCAAACAATAAATCTCGTGATTTCATTTCAGAAAAAAAAAAAAAAAAAAAAAAACAGCTTCACAAGTATTGTATTTTTCAATTTTTTTTGTCAAATTTCCCTCAATTTTCAATGGTTATATTCGACGACGCCTCCGCAAGGCGAAAATAATATAAAATTTCAAATTTAAAAATGTATGAATGAATCAATGGATTAATATTACATTTTAATCTCAATATTTAATTATCATTACGAATGATATTATTAAAATTATAAATTAATTATTAGTTATGATTATTATTTTCAAAATATTACCTTATGACTTTACTTTATAATTCTCTTCATAAAAGTACTTATGCGTTAAGTTTAATTACATTTATTTTTATAAATAGCTTTAATTTTTTAAATATATATATATATATCTATATATATTTTTATATATTATATATTATATATTATATATTATATATTTATATATTATATATATATAATAATATATATATATACATATATATATATATATATATATATTAAAATATTTATTCAAATTGCTTGTCATATTTACTATATTTATTAATTAAATATAATCTTATATTACTCTTCGTAGCTTCAAAGTTTTCACGATATAATCAGTCTGTCAATTAATTATAATTAAAATCTAATTATAAATATAGATCAAATAGCAGCTTTGTAATATTGTTTTAACAACTTATATATTATTACCTATTAAAGACTCGTCGTGGATTATAAATTTTTATGAATAATTCGTCTTTGAAAAATTTATAATTACCTACAATAGACGTACAATAATTAATGTACTTCGTTAACGACAAGTGCACTAATTTACTAAAGTCAGTAATAAACTCATTTATAATTATACAATTAACGAATGGTAAATGAAATTTGATATCAAATTTATTCCATCAATTTTATTAATATTTGCAGTCATTTGCGCCTAAAAATTATAAGTTCAAACCTCCGAAAGAGCTCAAAACAAATATTTGTACACCTTTGAAAAGCACTCACGAGTTGCCTTCCTTTACTTTCGGCACTCTTTTGAGCAAACCCATTAAAAAAAATGCCAATAAGAAAGACATTAATTTTAGCAATATAAATATTCGTCCCCGAAACAGAAAGCTTTCGTATGACTTATCATTTGGTTCAGACACAGTGGAAGTAAGAGAAGGTAAGTTCGCAGACTTAATATTTTCTATTGTTTTGCCAACGTCATTGAAATAGAATTTGAAAATATTCTACAACAAAAAAAAAAAAAAAAAAAAAAAAAAAAAAAAAAAAATTAAAAAAAAACAAAAAACTATTAATCTTACGAACAAAATTTACTTTTATTTATTTACAAAAATTTACCAAGTATTTGGATTTGGGTAATAATTTAAATTATTTACAGATAATAATGAAAAGAATTATGAGAAAGTTGAAAAGCAATTGTCGCCAAAAGCATCGGAAGTACCTATTTTTGGTCGTTCAAACGTGCTTAAGGCATTGCAGAAATCTGCAAATGATTTGTCGGAAGGTATCGATTTTTCATTTTATTTAAAAATTTGTAAGTTATAAATATTGATCTTTTAATTTTAATTACAATATTTTTACCATTTTCAAATTCAAACAAGGTTAGTGTCTTTCTAATTGTACTCTTAAACAATATGCTTTCTCTTTTAAAAATATATTAATCATTATAACCCCATCGTTCATTTCGTTAATAAATCTATATTCATTGCAGATTTAAAAGATCAAAGTGAAACGAATTCATTCTGCAATTTAGAAAAATCAATTATTACCTCGCCCAAATTAAAGTAGGTTTAAAATAATTTTCTCCCCCCCCCCCCCTCCTCCCCCGCCCCTTATTATCACTGACATTGATTAATACGAATATATCTCGTATGTTAAATAATTCGATTTTAAATCAAATCCTAATGTATTTAGCTTTAATTGTAGTGTGTCAAAGATAGAGCTTGGGCAACGGAAAACTTACCAGGAACTCAACACTGTTAGTAGACATGTTTTTATGTATTTTATTCTACGTTGGAAATTTCAATTAGTTTATTGTAATTTAACGAATAAAGTATTTTTTATTATTTATTTTAATATTTAGGTGGTAAATGATACTACACAAATTAGTCAAACATTGGCAATTAATGTTCCTAATTACAAAATCAAAAATACCACTCCATTGGGAATAAATAAAAATGTTTCTGCGCAAGAAAGTCCAAAAGATGAGGTATTTTTTTTTTTTTTTTTTTTTTTTTTTTTTTTTTTTTTTTTTTTTTTTTTTATTATTATACATTTATTGATAACTATAGTACTAATGTAAATAATATCACACGAGCAGCAATAACAAATAATAATATTTATATCTATTATTAAAATCTTTGTTAACGATTATATTTCATTCGAATTAGTTATAAATTATTTCAGTTCGATAAATTGTATGAAAGCATAAGTTAAAAGGCTAAAAAGTTTTTCTATTTAAACAGATATTAAAGTAATTCCTTGCATATATATTTATCAATAATGATGTTTCAATGTTGTATTAAAATAATTTGTATATTTTAATAGAAGAGAACTATCGATTCAAATTTTTTACATCGACGAATAACGACAGAATCATTGGATCAAAATCAGATAGAAAATTCAATTAATTCCATAGAAAAGGATAATAAACAAATTCATACGGATATCGATCAAAGGAATTTATCATATCAACAGGATGTTTCACCAAAAATTAAAATTAACACTATAACCTTGCAATTAGAAGGTAATTCAAGTGATAAAGAACAGATAATAAATTGCCAGGTAAATGTCTTCTTATACTAATCACTAATCTGAAAATTTTTATTTAACTTCTTAATTTCTACCGTAGACGATTACCAAACTGTCATTAGTTGATAATAATCTACAAGATACAAATAATTTACGTGAAATTAACGATAAGAACAATAGTAAAAATATAAATGAATACAATTTATCGTCACCCTTATCTGATATCCTTGCGAGCAAAGTAAAGGAAAGCATTATACCCGAAAATAAAGATACTACGAACATTATATCCGAGGATTCATGTTTCTTATCGAAAAAAAAAATTAAACCATTGTTATGTCAAACTGAGGCAGACGGACAGAATAATCCTAAGGTGTTAAATGACAAGGAAGTTACTGCGGAAATAAATAACAGTTCTATTCCAGTCTCCT